GATGTTACACATTCACTTGAAAGCTTTCCCACCTTGCAGAGCTGGAAGTGTTCAGACTGGAGTGTCTCCGGGATGAGCTCGTTCTCCTTGGCCCCGAGTTGCGAGGATGGAGAAGGGGACGACACGGCCGTCAAGCCGTCCAGCACCTTACGGATATTAAACTTCTTCATTTTCCCCCCAGTGCGAGTGACGGAGGGGGACGGGAGCACCCGAGTCGAGATCAGCCGTGGATGCTGATGGGGAAAGCCGCTCTCGCTCGTTTCTGCAGCATGTCTCTTTAAACCTCACATTTTAAGTGTTTGCCGTGTCCTCCATGGCTAAAGGCTTCGGTTTTGAACGTTGATTTTGTTGATGTTGGTTTTTATTAGCGTTTGTGGAGTGTCCGTTTATTCTGACTCGGCGTCCTGCTGCGTCGCAAATTCCCTCTATCCTCTATCCTCTCTGCCACTCTCTCTCTCTCTCTCTCTCTCTCTCTCTCGATCCCTTCTGCTCTTCACTCAACGCGGAAACATCGCTGCAGCGCCGCGCATGCGCACTCCAGACTGAATGACTATTGAAGCCGCCTTCCAAACGCTTTTCCCAGTGACCAGGCAAGACTGTGGAGCGCTGAGTGAGACTAGCGTCACATTGCAGAAATGAGGGGAGGGACTCTGCGCCTGAAACCGCAGGGACGCAGAATGGAAAACGCATCAGCTTCTCTAGCTTGATCAGTTCATCAGGTTACCCTGCACTCTGTAAAATGGATTAGATAGGGCATTTTCTCTTATCTTATTTTATTTATTTATGATATGACTATTTTTGAAAGTTATCTTCTCTATAGGCACATACCTCACAGTCTTGGCTACCACAAGCTATCCATGGATGTTCTCTATAAGAAACACGGTCATGGAAAATCTGCACATTTCAGGGAGTTTCAAAACTGTGCATTTCAGGCCTACATATAAAATAATTCACAGAAATTTCTTGAGACGATATACATTTCTAGTTATATTCAGCTCTAAAATATTTAATTGGTTTGAAGTCTATATTATATATATATATATAAAAAATCGTATGTAATCTGAATCACTGTAAAAGTCATGGCAAAGTCACGGAAATTCGTTGGTCAAAATGTGTGGAGTGCTGCAAAAATATTAATTGAACACGTTGATCATTTATGACATTTCCAATAGTGTGTCAGACTATGGGATAAGTTGTCACAATGGAAACTGCCATTAGATAACATTTTATTGTAAATATTGTATCACTGAAACGTGCATTTTCTGTAAAGCTGCTTTGAAGCTATTTGTATTGTAACAAGCTTAATAGATGTGAATTGATTATAGTCTTTAAGCTACATTTAAACAGGACAACTATTCAAGATAACAAAAATATTAAATTGTTTTTGCAAAGGAAAACTGCAAGTGTATAAAATGTATTTATAAAAACACACTCTTGTCTGACTGTATATCAGTGTGGCTTCATTGTGTTAAATTGTTTACACAAAAGCTGTAACTATAAATATGGATATGCAAATGTTAGTTTGGAGGATATAATTTCTCATTTAGAGTTTGAAATCAGCATGAATCCACCATTAGAGAAAACAATAATTTGTGCAATTGCAATTAGACTTTTAACTAGACATAATCTGAAAACAGACCATTATAAAGGTTTGCCAACTATCTAGCTCTGTGTTTACTTTGGTATGTCTGCTGTGAGATAGAGAGGGTCAGAAAGTAGAGGTCACAATGGCTCAACAATCAGTCTTGCCACTGCTGTTTAGGAGTGCGTCGCTAGTAATTGATTCGGACATGTGCCCTTGTTTAATGAAGGCCAAGTTTACTCTTAAGGTAAGGGCCGTCCTCATGTACGTATGAGGCACTGACCAATCACCTGCTCGCTACAAACACAGAACACTCCATAAACCACACACTGGAACATCAATGACTTCATGTTTCTCAATCACACTGTTCCCTTTCATTCATGATAATAAAGAGAAAGAGTTTAGTGTTCAGCATTAAGTGGGTATGTGATTTGTAAGCTTTGATAAGACCCACTCACTGATGAATATTTGGCTAGTTCGCTAAGGAGGGGCCAGAGTTTACAGAAGCATGACTAAAGCAAGGTGCTCGCTTGCTGGCATTGGTGTCATTTAAGAAGTCACAAACACAAACTGTAACAAAAAAATTACAGATGCAGCATTGCAATTTAGCGTGCACCAGTGCATATGACCACAATAAAAAAATAAAATAAAAAAAGATGTTCATTATTTAGTCATATCACCATATTTTAGCGGTTTAATAAAAATGTTTAAAAAAAAAAAAGGTTTAAAAATGTATAATTTCCATATTTGATATGTGTGATAAATACAGGGTAATTATCTGTCTAAATTTTTAATATTTTGTGATATATATATCACAATTGGTTGAGTAAAAATATTTTCATATTATTTTTCATGTATTTATTTATCGCTATAGCATCATAACTCTATAGAAATTATTATTTTAAAACCTAAATTATATTACATTTATAATTCACATCTCTATTTCTCCCTTATCAAAAATATTGACAAAAAATATTATATATATATATATATGTGTGTGTGTGTGTGTGTGTGTGTGTGAAAATTCTGATAGTAATAAAGGTGATCTTCTCTGCATCACCAGAGAAACTGAATTCATTACAACCTGTGATGTCAATTGTCTGTTCAATCTAATTAGATGTCACTTTCCCTTTGGCATGCTTAGCCCCACCCCTTTTTAACCCGGGCACCTATTTTATTCAAGCTGATGATGATTACACAGCGATTGTATGCTTTATTTCATAATCAGAAGGCTCATGTCATCATTATTTTGTTTTGATGACCTCTAACAAGTTATGAATAATTCATAAAGTGTTTCAATATGCAAATATACATCTTCTGTGATTGAACACAGGGGTTTAAACTGAGGGAAATGTAAAGTGTGTTTAATATTGAACTGTATTATAAGGAACAGTGTATTCAAATTAATCCACCCCTAATCCTACAGAGGAAAGACTGGATGTGACATGGCTTTAAAGGGACATCATTAAGACTATAATAACAAATAAACTCACACATCTACACACACACACAGCACAGGTCATTAGCGAAATGCATTACAAGAGCTATATTTGCATTTCAAATAGGCACAGTTATGCTTCCTAACACGAATGCAGAATGTGATCACATTGCCAAATTGTTTACAGTCTTTAGTTTACAGGTCTGCAAGTGGCTCTCACAAAAGAGATCTTCAAAAGGAGCCACGTTCTATTCACCCATGTCTATAAATGCCAGTTCAGTCTGTGTAGTTCATCTGCTTCATGAACAGATGTTGATTCTGTACCATCGCCTTAAATAATGCATCGACAGCATCTTAATGAACAGAGAAGGCATGTGGGTTTTTGATTTGGAGAGAAAGTAATAGTTGCAGCCACTTCAGCAAACAATCCCAAATGTATCCTGATGTAGAAAGTAAGGTTTAAATGTAGAGTAAAAAAATGTTTTGTCATTTACTTGCAGTTTAGACTTTCTTCTGTAGTACACAAAAGATAATTTGAAGAACATTAGGGTCCCAACAATACTGGACCCCACTGACTTTAATTGTATGGACAAAAAAAAAACCCCACAAAGACATTTTTCAAAATATTTTCTTTTATGTTCCACAGAAGAAAGGAAGTCATACAGGTTTGGAACAGCTATCCCTGCAAATATCAATGATATTTCTGTCTCATAGTGGCCCATGACTTGAAGAGTTACAGAGAATGAATTTCTCCTCTAGTGCATTATATTTTCAAGCAAGGAATTTCTGTTTTGGGTGGTTCAGTTTTGGAGTTGCAAGTATATAAGTTTGTGTGGATGAGTTTACTTTAGCTAAATCCAACCACATGCATTTGGAGACATCGAGGTGAAATCCTCATTTGGGAAAATAATGTAGTTATAATTAGCATTACATGAAAACAACAGAAGCCTACAGTATGGTACAGTATGCCCCCATTTAGTTTGCCAGGTAAATGTGTGTGTGGGTGTACAGACTTGACAACTAAAAGTCAATGTCAGTGCTATGAGGAGGAACATTAGTAGAGAGGATGTCTCATTTGTACTCATTGCAACACATCTGCTATCAGCGGGAATAATCAACAGATGCGATAAGACACCCATCAACAATTATCAGCAGGCTGCTGGCAATGACACTAAAACACCCATCTTTGAGCTCTGGGGGGTGGACCTGTAATGTAAATAGCACAATAAGATACAGAAGCTAAATGGAGATCCCTTTCCTCCAGCTAAATAATGAAAAAACTGAGGTGATTATTTTTGGTCCCTCTAAAACAGTCTCACTCCATATGTTAAAGTCACATGCAAAAAATGTAGCTGTTATTTTTGACTCTGAGCTTTGCCTTGAAAAGCAAATTAGCTTAGTTGTTAAAAACAGCGATTATCAATTGAGAATAATTTCTAGACATAAATCAACACTTTACTTTCAAGACTTGGAAAAAGTTATTCATGCATTTATCACATCACGATTGGACTACTGTAATTCCTTATAACTAGGTCTTCCCCAATCTTCACTGGCTCATTTGCAGATGGTCCAGAATGCAGCAGCCAGATTGTTAACTGGTGCAAAAAAACGTGATCATATCACTCCAATTTTAGTGTCGCTCCACTGCCTTCCTGTCTCCTTTAGAATTCAATTCAAAATTTTGCTGATTGTTTTTAAAGCACTTAATGGACAAGCCCCATTATACATTTCTGATCTTATCTCATTTAATTCTGCTCCTAAGTCCCTCAGATCTGCTAATAAAGCTATTTTATATGTCCCACAGTCACGACTTAAGTTTAAAGGTGACAGAGCCTTTGCAGTAGCTGCTCCACGTTTATGGAATCAGTTGCCACCTGACATTAAGAGTGCTCCGTCTATTTCGGTTTTTAAGTCTAGACTTAAAACGCATCTTTATTCAATGGCCTTTACTGATTTTTAATTTATGGATTAGTATTGTTATCTTGGATTTTAATTTGTAGTTTATTTTATACTTTACTGTATTTTATGATTGTTTTGTATAGCACTTTGGTCAGTGTAAGCTGAATTTAAATGTGCTCTATAAATAAAATTGACTTACTTACTAGAAGGACAGAGAAATTATGCTAAAAATAAAGGAGACATATATAATAGACATATTATCATGAGCTTAATTAAATAATTATTGAAAGAAGTATTATTCATAGACACTGGACTATAAATTCTGTGACTGACTGAAGGGTCAACCTCAACTGATAAGGTCAAATATGGAGTCTAAAATGTACATTTTTGAAGTTCAGAGTTCTTAATTTGAAATTAGTTAATTGTGAACTCCCGGGCCTGTATTACACAAACTTTATAGAATCTGTTTATCATGATGATTTAATTTAGGATCTCATTTTAGAAAAAAGCTATTACAGAAGTTTCTGTAATATGGCTCTGAAAGCAGTATCTGAGTCTACACTATCTCAAGAACAAAAATGAAGAAAAGAGGAAAAGTGAGATCCAAAGGTTGAAT